GAACGAATTTTCTCAATTCAGGGTCAAGGCTTCATTCGAGGTTTGTTTTTGCTGTGTCGTTATGCATTTCTGTTTGTCTTCGTTGCTATGCCTCAGTTTATTAGTGTTGCGTTTGTCATGTTAATGAATCAAATCGCGTTTGCAAATGAGACTCATCCTGGACTCTCCGAGCTCTCACCTGATTAAACAAAATAAACTTAGAACGCGCAATGTTTCTCGTCGGCGTCGATCTCGTACAGCTTCGTTTTCTCCACGAGTACCAATGTAACGTTCATCATCATAAATGTCATCAGCCATGACCTATCCACTGCTGGATGGCGGCCTACCCAAGCCGTCTCCCGTCCGCTCGCGGTCTCCCGATGCAGCGATCCACGTAGCTCCTGGGCGCGGGCCGATCTCATATCTCATTGCTTCCATCTCCGCAGCGGACGCACCGTTCGTGTGGGCGCATCCCCTGCTTTGGCTGCTATAGCGAATCTGAATTCTGCTTGAACTTGGTGGTTTCAGGGCCTCAGTGGCTCTGGCGGCCCCGTGGCCTCCTTTGAGGACTCATTTGCTGTCTTGTTGGGCCCGGGGTTGTCCACCGTGCGGCCCGTCTCTCCCGCCCCGCGTTTTCTTCACTCTCACCCTTACCCCATATCCTCTGCCGCCCGACCCGAGTATTATTTTTACCCGCTGTGGTCGTATCCTTTGCGTGTACTGTAACTTGCAAGAATTTTGCTTTAAAATTACCGTTCGATTTGTGGCACTCTAAATTCGATGCATCTACCGCAGGCTATAGAAGCGTTTTTAACCAATGAATCGATGCGTCATTACATGCGCATGGTGTGTATAAATATATTCACATCAATTGTAACACTTTCCTGAATACGTCAATGTGTCAGCTGAATATGGATGGTGCTGATGATGACAGTGGAGGTAGTCGTGGTGGTGGTGCTGATGATGATAGTGGAGGTAGTGGTGGTGGTTTTGGATGATGCCAGTGGAGGTAGTGGTGGTGCTGATGATGACAGTGGAGGTATTCGTGGTGGTGATGGTGGTGCTGCTGATGATGATGACAGTGGAGTATGCTAACAATGGTGCTGACAACGATAGCTGTGGTGGTGATTATGCATTCCTCAATTATATCGTTTGTAAATAAAATGATGATGATGGTGGTGGTACTGGTGGTGTTATGGGGAGCGTTGGTGCAGCAGTTAGCGCAACGGTAGGAACCCGGCGACCTGGGTTTTGATTCCCACTCACGACGAATAACAGTGTTGAATATTTTAACTGGTACTGGGCTTCTTCTGGTACCCGGGACAGTGTGTATAGATCAGCACTCGGGAGAAAAAGGGGCGTGGTGTTCGCTAACAGCACTTTCCGCAATACTATAGTCTATTTAGGCTATTGGGGGCATCTTAGTCATTGTTATTTTTACGGAATTTGTGGTCATACTAAAAATGGATATTTTGATGATGATGATGATAACAGTGGGTGCTGCTGGTGGTGATGCATTCACAATTGTAGCATTTACAAATATAATGATGATGCAAGCAGTAGTGGGGTCATCATTGCTAACAATGGGGCTGACAGTGATGGCACCGATGATTGCGATGCATGCGCAATGTCGGTGTTTACACACAGAGACCTGCCGTGGAAATTACTGACCTCTTTTTCCCACAATCAATCTTTTCGGCTGCCACTGCCGTTGTCATGCGGATTCAACGCTGGTACTTTGCCACGATGGGCCCTCTGGCCCTTCCACCGTAATTACCGCTCTATCATCAAAGCGGATTGCTGAAAGGCGACCGTATCATCCGCGTGAAGACGTCCGAGGGAATTTAATTCGAGCGACATCTTTTTTTTTTAAACCTCTCCCCCCCCTCATCGCACGAGCCTTCCGGCTTCATTCTTTCTCGTTGTTGGGTACGTAAATCGTTAGAAGATACATTTTTCGTGCCGGTTTAGCTCTCGCGATTATTCTGTGCAATGTGTTTATTATTATTTTTGTTGCAGGAATGCTGCGTATTTAGAACACTTAAATAATTATTTCCACGTGCGGAAACAAATGTATCTGTCTGCGGGTGAGATGAAGTGAACGTAATCTCGAGAAATGTTGGTTTGTTTCGCTGACACCTCTGTTATATACTTCGAATATTAAGACTCACTTCTCCCGCCCTCCGTATTTTAAAGCAAAAGTTGGCGGTGCATTTTATTATCCGGTAGGTGTGTGCACTTTTGTTTGGGGAGTGGAAGTTTAGTGGTTGGCTCACTGCGCTACAAACCCAGCACCCCCAATTCGATTCCCCTCACGGCCAACAACACCAGTGTCAAATACCTAAACTGGTCCTGGGTCTCCCCTAGGTCGACTCAGCCTCGAATGAGTACGTGGCTTGTTGTGTAAACGTCGCCACTAGGGAGACAAAGGCGGTCGGGCATGGTGCTGCCCACCCACACCCTCGTGTGACGTGCTGGCCTTCATCGGTGCTCGTTAACAGCCCTTGCCCCAAGAGTCTGTTAAGGCTACATGGGAGACCTTTGTCTTTTTGCGTGTGTGCATGTGACCAAATTAGTACAGAATGCGGCTTATTTTCTGGAGCGACTCATAATCCAAAGAATACGATACATTCTGGTTCTCTTTTTTAATAAAAAAAATGTGATCAAAAAATATAACCCTAGAAATTATTTACATTACACGTAATGGGTTGCGCAAAGGATTAACCAAATCTTTCAGTTGCTCATAATCGGTGATTGTGTTTCCTTAAACAATCCTCCCTTCCATGCTTGCAGCTACTGATTGCATCACAATCCGCACCTCCCATTAGCGCGGTTGGCTATGTGCAGTGCAAAAGAAGTTCAACATACGTGAACATATTGAACATACCTCTTCAATTTAATAAATGTTGAAATATATTCAATAAAATAAACTTTTAATCAACATGTGCCGACAGACATCGTGTGACACAAAGATGTATGTCAAACAGTATGCTTTTAGAAAAAAAGAACATTTTTAAAGACCTTTTAATGTTGGTAAATCATTTCATTCCGTTTCAAATATGTACAAAAATGGTTTGTAATGAGCTGGCAAACGTCATAAAAATCTGCTGCTTTTGTGAGCAGACGTCCAAAATAAATATCGTCTGCGTGCAGTCTTCGCGACATCCCTGATATTTATGGCATTAGCAAAAATAAGTTTATAAAATTATTATTCACTATCAAGATGGGTATTTTTCCCCTTAAGTATCCCCCCCCACTTCCTACAGTGATTATATAATATTGGCGGAAACAGAAATCGGGGACATGTTCTTGGCTTTCTTCGTTGTTTTATCCTGTAATTACTTGGGTGTAGTGTTATTCGGACACATACCTGCACGGTTTGCTTCCATACCCATTTGTTTTCCTTGTCGTTTTTTTTGCATTACTTAATGAAAATTCGCTATGTCTCACCACCACCACCACCAACTGAGGCGTAGGATTTTCTCAGCCCATGTTTTTCTTTCCACTGCCTGACCCCACCACCAGGCACCGTCCCCGGACTGTCACGTTCTTTAAACCAGAGAGGCGCCTCGCCGAGTCTCGGGGCTCATCTTCGGGAGGGTCCTGCTTAGGGAGGGTCCTGCTGCGCGGCGCTGTTTGGCCATTTTTCCACGGCCGCTTTGTTAAAACGATGCATTTGGGATGCCGCGTTGGCAGTGGTGCTCGGACACAAATAACGAAAACTCAAAGTGTTCATTAAACAACACTGCCCTCGAAGGTGACGTTTTGGTCTCTCTGCTGTGAAGTAGGGCTGTTGCCCGAGACAATGCCTATTATATATGTTGTTCTCTCTTCACGGGTAGCATTAGTTACGAGTTGCGGCCAAGGATTTGGAACGCGCCCAAGAGCCCCCACGTCCCACGCGGAGATGGAGCGAGTGCTGGATTGGATATTTAAATCGCAGGATCGTGAAAGGTTGCCACGGCTTGTGGTGGCCTTCATCCAGCTGTGGATTGACCATGGCCGATGACGACGATGATTCCCTTTTTCCCCTGGTAGAATGCATCCTGGTTGACAGTTTGATTTGTCTCATCACCTGAATTACTTTCTTTTTGTCCCAACTGTCGTTGTCAGAGGCACTTTCATCAAACCGAAGTTAAACCCCGCGACATTTGTTTTTGGGGACTTGTCATTTTTGTTATCGGCGGCTGCCATGGTGGGTTTCATTGCGAGGCACTGCCTACACTTGAGCGAACGCCGCCTTGAGCTACGGGGCACGTCTCACGGCGATGGTGGAATTCGGCACCGGGACATATCTACGACAGGGCTTCTGGGCCACCGAGCCATCATTTGTTTTGTAGATTTGTCGCGGAGTCGTGCGGGTAGTGTGGATTTCCGTGCAATGGCTCCCTAATGTGCATCCATGTTTGTTTCGCCTCTTATCACTGCTGAAATTTGTAACGGTCGTTAGTTTTCAATAGCCAGCTCCTCGTGTGCAGATGCTCGGTGGAATTTTCCACTTCAGGATCGTGAAAGATTGCGACGTCTTGCAAAGGCCTTCACCCAGCAGTCGATTGATCACGGCTGATGATGATGACTGAAGGCTTTTTGCTTTTTAGACTTTTGACAAAGATCTCACTGAAGATGTTTCGCCAAAAAATGATTGAGTGTTTTGGTTTCACGTACTAGAGTGCCCGGAGAAAACCCTGTGCGGACGAGTAGGGAGACAACGGTTTGCAACACTCTGCCTAGATGACTTTGAATCCGTCCCATGTCACGAAACTATCAAAAACAATTTAAATACATCGTTGTTTCGGACGACCTTTGGGATTCGGACCAAAAGCCACCGTCACTTCCACACTGGAGTATCGCCGCGGGCCTCTTGGCCCTGCGATGTTGTCACATAAATCCGGCGCCGGACAAAAACACGTGTTTATTATCATCATCATCATCATCACTGGTTCCTCGGTTGCGATCGCGCGTTTGTCCATCCCTTAACAGCTTGTCGGTTGCGTTGGCTGCGTGTGCTTCCCTCCCATCAGGATATGCGCAAGCACGTGATGATGAACCTCCTGGATACGGAGCGCTCTTATGTCGAGTCCCTGCGCACGCTGGTCCAGGTGAGGCCGTGTCCACGCCGACACGGAAAGCACAACCCCCTCCTCCCCAGCGAACTTGCATCAAGCGCTGGCTTCTAAAACGTGGTGACCTACAGGCCACAAATGTTACCCCCTCCCCCCCCCCCCCCGCCGTTTCATCTATTTCACCTTAAACACTGCTGTTTGTTGCTGACTGCTTGCCGTTTGTTGAGCCTTGGGGCGGGCCTGCACTAAGTAACCGTGGGAAAATTTAAACCTGAGGCTCTTGGAGTTGCCGTTGACAGATATGGCTTGCCAAAGACATTGAATAATAATATTCCAGCCTTTGGGGGGGGGGGGGGGCGAAGTGGTGCAGGATTGCTTCTGATATCGCTTTTCCACTCGTGCGAGCCATGGCCAAGAATTAAAAATTAGGGTCGCCGAATTCAGAGCGCGGCGTGCCCAAGCACTGTGCCCCCAACCCCCCCCCCCCCCCCACGCCACAAAGAGATGAAGATTAGTGAGATGAAAGCGAGATGAGCGAGAGATGCAGAGATGAAAGAGCTGTCGAGAAGAGGGACGGATTAGTGGTCACACAAGGCAAACCAGAGTTGGATTCCTGGTCACGGTCAGGATAAGTGACGAGGAATATTTGAGCCAGTTTTGGATCCGTCCTTCACCAGCCCACGCCGACCAAAGTGGTGAAGTATGGCTTTAACAATCCTCTTGACCGACATCATCAACCATGATCAGTCCACTGCTAGTTGAAGATCCCCCCAAGTTGTAGCCATCACTGACAGTTTAGCCTTGCAGCAATCCATGTAGCAACTGCTGTTAAACTGATTTCATAACTCCATCTCCATGCAGGATGAGCAGGCTTAACCCCAGTCCCATCAATATGGTAAATACAACAGCCTCTTGTGGCAGCAAGATTTACTTGAAGCAATTGCCTACAATATATACGATTACAAAAATATATTTATATATAATTAAATGGCCCGTATTGCGAGCTTAGGAATCGATATTAAATGGCGACCCCGATGCATTGCCCCACCGCTGCTGCTAACCTTACACAGTCTCGTACGTGCCGGCCACACAGTCATCATCCTTTCGCGAAAAAAACCCCAGAACAGAGAAACAAAATGGAATTAACAAAATACAAATCGAAATTCGCATTTCCGCGATGCTGTCTGTACAATTCGTTTTTTTTTTCTTCCATCCGACGAACCCCAGCCGAGCGGGCCCCGTTTGGTGGTTATCTGTGAATATCAATGAAGCTGTTCCCATTAGACAAAGGGATATGAATCAGCATGTGTTTATGTGGCATTATCCCCCCCCTCCAGTATATATACATATTTTATATTTGTTTCCGAAATGAATTAATTCCGTTATGTAAAAATACGTATTTAGCAAAAAGCTGTTCCACCTTTTAAAAGGGGGCGGGGGGAGAGGGAGAACAACAAAGAACACCACTGGGGAAACATTTCTGTGGGTGGTAAAAAATTGTTACGTAAATAATTAATGTGCATATCAAAGTGAATCGGATCTTCTTTTTTCGTTCAAGGGGAGATATTCTGTGTGTGTGTGTGTCCAGCCATCGGTGAAGGCGATTGCTGCTTTTTTCTTTCTGGGTGGGAAAAAAACAAAGAAAATTCATTGGCAGGCACACGACGGTCCCGGATCTCGGCAGACGTGAAAGCTCTGTCGGTGTCGCTTGCGAGGAGAGAACCCTTTTTGTTTTCCGAAAACCTGTTTTAGGTTTTTTTTTTCCTCTCCTCTCTTTTGCATTCGAATCGTCTCTCTCTCTCTCCCTCTCTTTCTTTCTTTGCTCCAGCCGCCTTCGCGTAAAAGTTCGCCCGACCGATTTAGTGGAAACGTAGCCAATTACCCTGCCGTCCTCAATTTACCAAAAACGGCCGGCGCTCTCGCCGCGCATTACGGGAGAGCGCTCGGCATTTAGCGTTGCGCGCCCCGAGACTGGGGAGTAAATGCCCCGGCGCTGATTGAAGCCTCTCCGATTCATTAGCGCGTGTCGGGTAATGCATGACTGGCAGGGAAAACACGCTCCGCCGCCCAGAGAGAATATCCAAGGGTAGAGTTGTTATTTTTTTGACATTTTTTTTGACCGCTCATTTTTTGTTGTTGTAAAATGTCCAATTAGATTTTTTTTTAAACTCTCTCTCTGTCAATGAGCTAATGGTTTCAAAAGTGATTGCAGGTGACGGTGGCGTGCTGATGACAGATGCCGCACATTTCTTAGAAGTTGCTATTGTACTTGAGCCGCTCGTTTGAATTCGTGCTTAAAATACCTACAATGCGCACTCTTGTGACCGAGGCTTGCATGACCCAAAAAAGGTGGTGGGGGTGCCGTGCCGGTGGGGTTTTGGGGTTTTGAAACGGAGGCCCCTTTTCCCCACTCCTCTCAGACGTAAACGAGCCCACATCGTGATTTACAAAGTCTGAGTTACAGTTTGTTTTGAGTTCACGCAAGGGCCATATTTGTATGCGGTCTATCCTCGTTCATCCCTACCCCAGCGCCCCCCCCCGCATTGCTTCCTGGTATTCTCCAACTCGCAGTTCATCGGATGGCTTTTGTTATAATTTAATGAATTGTCACGTTTCTCAATTAGCGGAGGGATTATTGTTTTTTATAATAAGAATAAATGCCAATTTACTTACAGTTACTATTTTTTTTGGTAGTGTGTGAATGCAACTACATCTCAAGAAGACGTACAGAACATTGAGACATATTTAAATGATCTGTTTATCATTCGTATCCATATGCATCTTCCTTTTTTGTGTTTAAACACACATTCAAAAGGTGACCAATCATTTATCGATTCTTCCATCAGTCGATTATGAATTATTTTAGTCTATTATAAATTGTGATTCAAGAATTGTATCCATTCGGCTGCTGCATTGTTTTATTTTACGATAGACAATTATTTATCTGTGATGTTGGCCACCCACTTCTTCATGTGTGCTCGCTCACAGCCATCGAGAATATTGAGCGACTTTTATTTGCAGTCAAGCGGGCTGGGGCAGAATACGTTGCTCAAGGGGGGTCATGAGAAAAACGACTGCATGGTAGCGAAGGGAGGGAATGTTCCGGACAGTACGCCCATTGCGGAGATGGGGCAATGCTACCATGAGAGATGGCGGCAGCTTGGCGGAGGCCTTCATCCAGCAGTGGATTGAGCATGGCTACTGATGATGGTGAATAAGGAACGATTCAATGGTATTGCTTTTCCCTCCTGCACCTGGTTCTCAATCCCTCTTCCCTTCTACCCTCCCATTCCTTGGACCCCCACCGACCCCAACCAACCGTGGGTGCCCTCCTTCCCCTCCTTCCCCTCCTTCCCCTCCTTCCCCTCCCCGTCGTTCCCGCGTGACCCCACGGGGAGCAGGGCTACCTGGGGCCGCTGAAGCAGGCAGAGAGCGCGGGGTTGTGCGACCCGGCGCTGGTGGACGACATGTTCTTCCAGATCCCCGAGATCCTGGAGCACCACGAGCGCTTCCTCGAGCAGCTCACGGGCTGCGTGCAGTGCTGGCACGAGCGCCAGACCGTCGGCGACATCATCATCGAGTCGGTGGGTGCCTCCTTCTGAACGCTTCCCTTCGTCCCGCACGCGTAGCCCTTGTCCCTCGAGCTGTCCCCGTCCGCCGCTAACGCGCGCGCTGAAACACGGGAAGCGCCGGCGTTTGCCTTGCTTTATCGTCATCCAAGGTCGCCGTGCTTCGAACGGTTGGTCACCTGCAAGCGACTCGAAAAAGGGATTGCACACACGGCTACATTCGCCCCCAGCTGTGAAAGTCCTGCAGACTATGTCCGTGGTATAAGAATGACAAATTAGTTAAATAATTTTTTGTTGTTTTATTTCACCATCAGTTATGTCGGGGCTTTTTTGCTTTTTTTGTTTTTCATTTTGGTTGTTGCATGCCCCTGTACCGTTTCCCGTTCTGTTGTAATGTGCACTGATGCCTACTTTGTCGAGGGCGATATTGGCTCGTAAAATTAAGATCGATTGATTGATGTCCCGTTGGGTTTGTATGAAAAGTTGTAATGTGTCTCTCCTACCACCTGCCCACTCCAGTTTATTGTACGAATTGTGATTTAGGTTCACAACTTGAGTCAAGTGGCTATTTATTATTTAACGCTGTGGCGAGTTGTAGCAGGCATCCGTGGCTTGATGGGGAGTCAACTCGGCTCGTTGATGCGTCACAAAATGTTGAATCTTACACGCCCGATTAGTATGTCTGTATGTACGTTGAACTTCTTTTGCACCGTACGTAGCCAACCCGTGCTAATCAGAGGTGCGGGGGAAGGACAACAAACTTAACACACAAAAAGCAGATTCGATGCACGTATCGTGAGCTCAATAATCAGTATTAATGGATGACTTGGTGCACCGTTATACACCGACTCTCCACTCCTATTCCACCACCACCACCACCACCACACGTCTGTCAGAGTAATGTCTCGATCCGAAGGAAGAAACTCGTGTTTTTGGAGCTACCTCTGGACGTGCATTTCACTTTAAAGATGTCGGGTAATATTCGAGTAATCACGGAGTGGCTTTATTCATCAACCAATTACGACTGTACTTCAAGATTGAAATGCACTACTTGATAAATGGAGAGATCCTCGTAAAATCCTCGCGCTGTCGAATGTTCTCAAACAAATCTCACCTTTTCACCCACAATGGAATCGGGTTCCGAATATTTATTTATTTATACCGGAGGAACCCCATGAGACACAAAGATCTCCTTCGCAGATGTCCAGTAATGGAATATTGATGGTGCATTCGGTTTCACGTCAATGTGTAAGCAAGCGTGACTCAAACCGTTCCCTTATTTCATTAAGTAAGCCGTATTCTCTTCAAAGTAAAGACGTACAATTGCCTTTTAGATAACTCCCCCTAAATGTATTATGAGGGACGCGGTTGGAATTCTGACTCTGTGATGCTGCCGTATTTGCAGAGCCGCTGCGGGTGCCATCAATCGAACGTCACGTCAGGAAATCAATAAAAGCCGTAGAAATGTCCCGAGTCGCCGCGTGCACATTGGATCTTTCCGTGCAGTCGTAACAGAGACACAAAGAGGAGGAGGAGTCCAGGTTGGAGTGATTTATTTTGGAACGACAAACTCGATAATGAGTATCCAGCGTGCCGAACGAAGAGCGTCCGTGCCTCGGTGTACGACGCCTCTACCCGCTCTCACGCACGGTCATCAACAACAAAAAAGTGTGCAAAGACGCGTGGTACATGAGATGCGTGCTTGGAATTCCACCGAGACACAGAGAGAGATGAACACGTGGATTAGAGAATGCACGCAGGTCGATGACATCATCCTAACTGTTGAGAAAAGTAGGCGAGGCTTGGGCAGGACGCGTCATGGCTAGAAGGCCGAGTAATGGAACGTTTCGGAGAGCACGATCAGTGAGGAGATGGAGCGATGAGCTCAGTTCGTCGCAGGATCGTGAGAGGCGGCAGCGGCTTTGTGGAGGGCTTCATCTAGCAGTGGATTGATCGTGCCTGGCCGACCGTCATCATTTTGCCTTAGCGCGCCGCAAAACGGCAACAGAGGGAGAAGGGAAATCGGACGTGGAGTACGGACGGATATCGTGACGCTCACGATCCGCGGGATTAGCGCCCCCCCCCCCCCCCCGACCACAACTCCACGTGCCGCCCACAATCCCGCGTCTACCCACACGGACACCACCGCGGTCATGTCACGCACGCGCGAACGTGAAAATGAAACGCGGCACGAGCCCGTGTACTCGGTACTTTGGTTTTCTTCTCCGACACGGTTTGCAAGAAAAGAAATCCAAGCGATAACTCACATTCTTTTGTCACCCTCGTGTTCAGGTTTTTTTTTGTTTCCTTTAGCGATGATTTTGGCGCTGAGCAATGCGAAAGGCAGAAAAAGAAAGCAGAAGACGAAAAAATGTTGCCACTGTACGGGAAAAAAATCCATAGGTTTTGGTTTTTTTTGCACCCAAACAAGCCAACTCAGGGTGGAAACGTGATATAAAATATAAACCGAGTGGTTAAATGAAGAATAAATGTTCACCCTGACCGGTGAGAGTGGGTGCAGGAGGGCCCTGCTTGGGCTGCGAGACCCAACATTTTATCGATCATTTCGGCTCGTGCAAGACACCCTGAGTGCCCGGAGAAATCCCACAAACCCGATGCGCAACGCGAATAAATCTCCAACCTATCCACGTGCCACCGTGGCGTCGCGGTGTGCGAAATTAAATAAACTAGCGTCGCAACCGGTTGGTCTCTCTTAACCCTACCTCTAACCCCGCCGCCATCCGTACCCTTCCCCACGCCGCGCCGTTCCGTCGCGCCCGCTAACGTGCTCGTTGCCGCACTCCGCGAGGCCCCAGGACCTGTTCGGATTGGCAGCTGCGGTGCTTTTCAGAGGTGAAGTAGCAGCTTTTTTTCCTTTCTCCAGCGCCATTCGGGGGTCCCCGTGGCACTCGTCGGGGGGCGGCGGGGGCCGTTGCCTGCGTTTTGGTTCCCGCGTGGCGCCGAGGGGCGGCTCACGGCTCTCGTAATCCCCGTGGCTTTGGGCCAGAATGCCTTTGCTGTCACTTGCCAGAAAGCCGCGGGATTATTTGCCGTTTTATCTCTTTTTCTTTGGGGGGGGGGGGGGGGCGAGCGGTGGGATATTGCCCACGGTGTAATGGTTAGCACACGGGACTTGCAATCCCGAGGTCACCCGTTCCGTTTGTTTTCCGGCACGGCGTTTGAAACTGCAGGCAAAATACCCTCTACTGGAGCTTTCTGTAGCTCCGTCTAGTTGGAGGCCCTTCCGCCAGCAGGGGTCATGAGTAAGCAGTTGCAGGGCTGCACCTGTCTCTCGTTAATTTTTGTTTTGTAAGGCCCAGTCATCGGCTTTCCCAGGTATGTGGCAACAGCCCCGGCCTGTGCTCCCCCAGGTTGAATGTAACAGTCGCGGCATTACTCGCTGCACCTTGCTGACGCATGCGGGTTCAAAGTTCAACACATTTGCTCGCAGCAATGTGCGCGCTCGTTTGCAAGAGACCACTTTTGCCTTGACTGCCCAATCTCGTCGTACGTTGAAAGTTAAGCGGGGTTGAACTCGGTTGGTACTTGAACGGTTGGTTGCCTGGGGACACCGAGTATTGTCATGAATAATTCAATTGATCTAATGCATGTTGTATTATATCCTGAAATCATTTTAGGCTGCCACTTGCATTAATGATTATGTGGTCACTTGTTTGAAATGAGTCTTGTAAATAAGTGTTTTCGTCGTTGCCTCTCTATCTCTTTCTCTCTTGCGGTTTACCGTTTAATCCTCGCAGTTCTCAAAGGACATTCTGGCCAATTCTTACTCGGCGTACATCGATAACTTCCTCAATGCCAAGGATGCCGTGCGGTTGGCGAAGGAAGCGAAGCCGGCATTCAACCGCTTCCTGGAGGTAGGAGGGACGCCGTGAAATTACCAATCCACTGCTCACCCCCCCCCCTTCACCAGCTCTTCCGCTCACCTGCTCACCACTCATCAGCTTGCCAGCTTGTCCACTTACCCATTTCGCCAACAGCCCGCTCGCCCACTCGCTTATTCACTTACTCGCCGCTCACTCAACTCACCCACTTGGCCAATAACTCGCTCACCCCATTCACATACTCACCCAAACGCCTACTCACTTGTATGTTCACTCTCACATCTGACCAGTTTGCCTGTTGTCCCACTCACGGCTGACCCATTTACCCACTAGCCGACTCGCACACACACACACCATCACCAAGTCAGCCACTGACCCAAATTGATCACAATCTCGGTAACCTTATAGGCCGCTTACCCACACGCTTGCCAACTTACCCACTCATTAATTCACTAACTTTCCCAGTCGCCTGCGTGCCTGACTTGCTGATGGCGCAAGACAGCGCCTGATAGGCTACGCCGCCATGTTCACAAAGCAGCAAATGTACTCACGTCCGATGGTTTTGTTGTTTTTTTTCTTTCCCCGTGCGACATTGTCCGCTGTGATGCTCTGTGCGGTCTCAGCAATGCATGCGGGAGAACAAGGAGAAGCAAGCGCTGGCGGATTTGATGATCAAACCAGTGCAGAGGATCCCACGATATGAGCTTCTCATCAAGGTGATCCCTCATTAATTCCCGCTGCAGCCCTCTGAATTACAACACGCGCGCCATCTGCTACACCGAGTGGGCGTTCGGCAAGTGCCGCGCCGCGCGGGCATTGGCGTTCACACGAAGTCCGTCGTCGTCCCGTGGGCCGGGATTCACAGTCTTTAAAATCACGCGTTTGAAACGGCATTGCAAAAAATACAAATGGAAAAGTGTCCGCACGAGTGTAGACCTTGTCCGTGTACACGTACAGCCCTTTTTGTCAGTCGACAGCTGCGAGAGTCGTAGGCCCGGGTTATCTGACACATACGGACACTATGCTGGTCGGTACGGGTTGGTGAATGTGGGCAGCGTAGATGTTGGCGCATAGTACATCGTCGCTTCGTGCTGACCACTGGCGTCGCAGCAGCCGGCACCACCTGGTTTTATGCATGGTGGTTGCCTATACAAGCACCGTTCCAGGCTTAACCCTGAGGAGCAGGCCGTATGCCCCAGGAGTCAAACACCTGAGCCAGCAGCGCTGAGAAGCTGGGTTCGAATCCAAGTGTCAACCACACATGATTAAACTGAATTCCCAAATCAAGCGAGTGTGGGAGCTCCTTCAGGAACCGACGTGAACAAGCCGGCGACGAGCACGGTGCGAAAAAGGTCAACACACATACGTGCCAGACAAGTGCGCGGTACAGCGGAGAGAAATGTATGATTATTATTGTTGTTGTTACTTAAAAATCCGCGAACATTTTGACCGTCGCCGCACCACACCTCTAGAAAGAACCCCAACGGAGGCAAATGCGCACAGTCAACTACATCGCTGCATCCACAACTCAAAGCACTTCTCTATTCGCGTGTATAAAACTAACTCGCAGCCACAACTTGCTGCCATATTTCTGTTTATCGGTGCATTGTTGTGATATATGTGCATCGAACTTCTTTCGCACCGTACGTAGCCGAATCCGTGCTAATCGGAGGTATGGGGGAAGGACAACAAACTAAACACAAAAAAGCAGATTCGATGCATGTATCGTGAGCTCAACTATCGGTATTAATTGATGACCTGATGCATCGTTATACCCCGACTCTCCACACCAACCTCATCACCACCACCACCACATCTATCAGAGTAAGGTCACGAGCCAAAAGAAGTAACTCTTATTTTTGGGGCTACCTCTGGATGTCCATTTCACACCATAAGCACAGACTGAGCACCTTCGCCAGTTTGTAGATTTGCATTCTCAATGTGTTTTATTTAATAGATCCTGCTCTCACGTCTTTATTTCATTATTTTCATCCCAGTCCACATTGAATAATTTGCCCATTACGTATGTACGCTGAACTTCTTTCGCACCGTACGTAGCCAACCGTACTGATCACAGGTGCGGGGGAGAGACAACAGACTAAACACAAAAAGCACTTCTAAAGAAACGAGTTTTCAATCGAGATGATTTAAAAGTGCATAGGTCCCGTGGCTTCCCAATATTGTAAGGAAGAGCGTTCCAGGCGGCCGCAGAGGCGCATCTGAAAGGGCGCGACGCGGTCACCATCTTGGGTCCTGTGGCTGGCCACAACCTGCCGCCGCTGCTGCGATGATGTGCCGGAGCGTGTGTGATGGCAGCAGACCTGTGTGCCAGGGCAGAAAGGCGCCACCACGTGTTAAAGCAAAAAAAGCAACAACAAAAAACCAATAAACCGACACGACTGCTGACGTTTGCGGCCACGGTGGTTTCGCCAGGACCTGCTGAAGCACACCCCCGAGGAGCACCCGGACCACAGCAGCCTGACGGTGGCGCAGCGCGACGTGCGCCTGCTTGCCGAGCGCATCAACCAGGGCAAGCGCGACGCCGAGGAGGCCGAGCGGGCGGCCCGCGTCCTGCAGGAGGTGGAGGCGCACATCGAGGGCGCCACCGAGGTAACCCCCCCAGCCCCTGGACGTGGTCACGGCAATGGTGGTGGTGGTGGTGGTGGTTGCGGTGGTGGCAGTGGTGGCAGTGGTGGCGGTGGTGGCAGTGGTGGCAGTGGTGGCAGTGGTGCTGATGGTGGTGGTAATGGTGATGACGGTGGAGGTGATCATGTGATGATGGAGGCGCACATCGAGGGCGCCACCGAGGTAACCCCCCAGCCCCTGGACGTGGTCACGGCGGTGGTGGCAGTGGTGGCGGTGGTGGCGGTGGTGGCTGATGGTGGTGCTGATGATGGTGGTAATGGTGATGACGGTGGAGGTGATCATGTGATGATGGAGGCGCACATCGTGGGTATCGCTGAGGTACCTCGATCCAGGAATCATGGTGGTAGTGGTGACGGTGGTGATGATGGTGGTGGTGGTGGTGGTATTGGTGGTGATGGTGGAATATCTCAGGAACTATAAAAGCTCTTGATACGATGAAAGTTTGTACATGTAGGTACACGTATGTTTTATGATTTGGGCTATTCATTGGCTGTGTAACCAATGAACATATTCGCTTTAGTTGTTGTTGGTAGGTATGCCTCGGAAAACCTAGGAGTCGGTTGCGATGGCAAAGCAATTTTAACCACAAAGTTCCATCTGTCACAAGTCCACCAGACATTTCCATAAAGTACAAGCCCCCCAAAATGGTTCCTGCACAGTCAGCTTTGGGGATGTGGCTCATGGTCTGGGGAAGTGGTGGGGGTTGGAGCGGAGTGAGTTGAGGAGGGAGAAGTTGCCTGGAGCAACACCGGATTTTGAGAACTGCAGGCTCCTCCGCCTCTTCACCTGGACAACGCCTCGCTACACCGCTGTCGCCGCTCTGGGCTGCGGCCTTTATTAATTTCGCGGGGCCGTCTCGCGGACTTAGGGGCAATTTTACCCGCGCTTAAGTCGCATGGCGTCGACACAATATAGCCCGCGCGCTCCGTCGTAATCCCTTCCACATTTCGGCCACGGCGCCGCGGTGCCTCAAATCCCGGCCAGATGGTCGGGGGGTGCTGGGGGAAACCTTTTAAAGAGGCAGGCAGAGAGGTGCGGCAGGGCGAACGTGGCAGCTGTTACCGCTTTAGGCCGTGCGGCGCGGGCCCCCGGGGACGCGAGTCCGCGGGGCCCCGCTACGCGCGGCGTGGCCGGCGGTGGCCATGATCGCCGGGCGATGTCACGCCGGGCTGTGCCGCCACACTTTTGGGTTGCATTACAGTTTGAGGGTTTTTTGTTGCCGCGTTTTTACGGCTAGTGGACACGGGGTTGTCGGCGAAATTCCTGCTCCTGATTCAGGAACTGGACGTTGGGATATCGTTGGCAGGCCACGCGCTAGTCGATACTCTGCTGTTATTACGCAAGGACCGTGTCCGCATTAGCCGTGTGCTCAGAGCTATGGATTTCTCCGGGATATGTAAAGATTCTGATTCTGAAAGACAACAGGCAACCGAGTGCGCTAATCTTCTTTGGTTCTTTCGGTAAAGTCACGTAGAATGAGAATAAAATAATACATTTATAAAATAAAATAACACAATAATATTCTCACGAAGTTTCGGCCACAACACAAGCGGCCTTCATCAGGTGAAAGGACGAGACTGTCTGGTAGGACAGCGCTAATGTTTATACGCACGTGTTGCCTCAAATAATAATTCAAAACTCGTTTCCATATCACTGCTGGAGATATGCCTCCGCACACCATGTCAATCGTGGTAATTGTTCGGCCTTCACCATGATGTTCGGTATGGATTCCAGGACCAGGGCAGATATCACTCTGCACTGATGTCAGCAGACATGCTTTCCAGCATGGTCTGGCAGAGCGGCGGTCCCGATATTTCAAGCAATTTAAATATGGCCCTACATTAATTAATAATAAGAATAAATACGTATCAATGTATTTTCTCTGGTATTTGTGAATAAAATACCTATTTTCGGGGTCGCAATTGAGGCGATGGGTTGGGGTGCCAATCGTCGCCCCCCCCCCCAAACCCCCCTTGGTTGGGAGTCAAACTGAGAACTTCGAACTTGCTGGGCTCACGACGCAATGTTCATGCCCCGAGCCCTCTCTTAAAAAAAAACGTATTCGTGATTTTTTTTTTGTACGGCGTGTGCGCCAATTCTTTGAATACGTTGAAGCTGTTCATCACTGGCGGTGTTCTCGCTTTGATGTTTTATTCAGGAATCGAGGAGGGTGGGACGATGAATCAAATGTGGTTTCACGTGCGCACCTCTCGCCGCGCCCGCTTGTTATAATGTCCGCGTGAATTCCCAGCGGTTTCTTTCCCCGCTTGCTTTGTGTCCGCTCTCTCCGCCCGCAGCTCGTGGCTCCGCTCAGGAAGTTCTTGAAGCAGGAGATGGTCGTGGAAGTGGTGAGCGCCCTTGACAAAGCCTGTCGTTCTGACGTTTTTTTGTTACGTCGCTGGCCGATGTTGCGTTGCACCACGTGCAGTTTTATTTTCTCGTCGCCTCTCAATAGTTTTGTTGTTTTACGAAACCACAATTTATTGACGAGGCTATTAACATTTTTATTTTTTATGTCATCTTGGCAAAATGCATCTTTTACTTGTAACACATTCATTAGTTGTCATTGTGGGGCTTTCTGGGTCATAGACTGAACAATTATACCTCCATTCAGCTCTTTCGCTGTCAGTAAAATAGGCAATGTTTTGTTTTTCTCATCGGCTGATTGTCCTTGAATTTACATAACATTATAAAGTGCAGCAGCAAATGTTATTACGAGTCTCGACGTCTTGATAGCCATTCGTGCAGTGGCAGTGCCATGCATAAGCAAATAAGGCAAAAGCTTTGGGACCCAAGCAGCTCGAGAGGCCCTGGATTCATGAAATAGATGTGCATCAAATATCTCATTACATCAGCTTTCTCTTATCTACATTTCTCTTATCACACAGGATATTTATCTACTGTTTAAATCTCTTCTGCCACTCACTAGAAATTTACACATTGAAAGGGGGCAGCAGACCCAAAGCATCATAATTTGTACTTAGGGCCCCCAATCAGCTGACACCACCGCCGCGTTCGCGCTTGGGCGGCCACTGGACAGAACAAACTAAAAAAGTGGCGAGGACGAATGAAGGAACGGTGAGTTTACAAATGAACAATGCCTCGCTTCGAGTCGCCACCGGGGGGAGGCTACAGCCCCTCTCCGTGTCGTTCGCAGAAGGGCGCTGGGGGAAAGAAAGATCGATCACTGTTCCTCTTCACGGACCTGCTGCTCTGCACGACGCTCAAGAAGAAGTCGGGCTCCCTGCGACGCAGCTCCATGAACCTGTGAGAGCCCGCGCTTCGCACCCCTGGGTCGCCTCTTTAGACACGACCTCGGGTCGTCGGAGCGCTCGACTGGCACCGGCTCTGAGATCCCGGCTTCAATTCCCGGTTTGCACGGCAGCTGCGATCAAGCCAAGTTCTCGAGTCCGGCGGAGTTGTTGGGCTCTGCGTAGGCGCCACTGCGCGCGCAAAAGCACATGGTGTTAAAATCTCGGGGGAGTTAAAAATATCGTTTTTTGTCTTGCGGTGAGCATTTTTCTTTGGAGCATGGCGGGTGGGAAGATGCTGCCTCCACCCCGCCACCCCCACTGTTGAAAAGAGATCACCTGAAGGGATCTCAGAGGTAGCTGTATGATAGCTGCTTCTGTGGCTCATGCAGGAAAAATCTGTCAATTATGGCCATAAAAGTGATATTGAATTATACCAGCCCACACTCACCAGCGTGGCGAAGTATGGTCATATAGCCCGCACGGCGTTGGGAGGCCCTCATTCAACAGTGGACTGGCAAGAGGGCAAAACAAAACAAGCTCCCCCATACAGCCTTAACAGACATTTGGGGCAAGTGCTGTGAGCGAGCACCTATGAAGGCCGGCACGGCACACGAGGGGTTTGGTGGTCAGTACCACGCCCGGCTGCCTATGTATCCCATGGTGGCGATGTTTACACACTAATCGTGCGATGGCAACGCTATCCCCTTGGTGTGTGCAGCTACACGGCCGGCTGCGTGATCGACACGTCCAGCAAGTACAAGCTGCTGTGGAAGGTCCCCCTGGAGGACGTGGACGTCATGAAGGGTGAGAGAGACGCCCACCTCACCACCGCCACCATTTACCAAAATCTTCCCGCGATGCACTCGGCCGCTCGTGTTTCAAATTCAATGTACGTACGCTGCCTTTCCTTTTTACGCTCTGCGTATGTATGTGTGTATGTTGAACTTCTTTCGCACTGTGCCGAGCCAACCGTGCTAATCGCAGGTGCGGGATGAGGACAACAAAAGTGTTGCCCCAAAAACATGTCGATGAAACCCATTGCTAAAAGCACCGTATTTCTCCGTCACACGTCATGCGCGTGCCTCACCGTCACCCCCCCCCATTCCCCGCCCTGCCCCCCCCCCCGCACGCAAGGTGACGCGCTCCTAATTGCATACCAAACTGACGCCGTGCCCCATCTACCCCCCTCCGCGTGTGCCTACGTGGTCGCGACGTCGTCGCCGCTACGCTTGCAAAACAACGCGCCGCGCCGCGCCTTTTCCACGTGTTTTGCGCAGGCCTGCTGGCCCCTGCCCCGAGCCGGGACAGTCTCCACAAGGCGTTGACGCGGCTGGAGGGGGACTTCAGCACCCTGAGCCAGATCAGCACGCTGGCCGAGACGCTCAGCATCACCCACCAGGTGCCCGTCCCCCGCACCGTCGCGTCCTCCCGCGCGTGCTCCGAGCTCTCTGCCTTGTTCGGGCGAGCAGCGAGGACTCGCGGCCTTTCTGTGGCGGCACCAGCATGAATTCCCTTTGCCCCGATGGGTTTGTGCCGCAGAGATAACTCGCTCATTTCCCCACGATGATGCCTTGCTCCCCTTCTCCCTCCCTTCCCTCATCACTGCCCCCATCCCTCTTCCCAACTACCCATTCATCGCACTCACTCATCATAAACCACTCAGTGTCGCTTTCCTCATCGTTTATTTCATGCAGCATCATATTCATGCTTCTCATTAACTCATCTCATCACACTTCTGCTGTACAAATAGTTAATTATGTGTTCAGCGCCTTGGTTAAGGGATCTATAGCAATTAAAATAAGACGAGATATATTTCCTCCACAATAGGCCCCACGCGTTGAACTGAGACATATTTCCCACCGTCTGCAAGGGAAAAGAAATCTGACAAGGTCAATGGAAGCGTTACTGTTTCCCCGTTTGAGTTCTGGCTCACGACTAGGTTTGCCAATCAGCCAGCCTGAGGTAGCCATCCTGGGGAAAATACACGACTCTTCACGCAACGTTAAAGGGTCCTGGTTTATATCGTTTGCACGGTAGTAATACACCCCCGCATTTACACGTAGTCCTCCCCCCCTTCCGGTACGGCGAGATATTATTTTTCCCGATGGAACGTCGTGGTTTTATGTGTCTCAGAGGTGGTAATCCTAACCATGGGAGGGAGGTCCAAAGGATGTTGCGGGCTGCTCTTTATTACACATTTAATTTGTAATCTGGCCTTCAGCTAGGCTGTGCGTCCCCCGCTGAGCGTTAACGCATTCATGTTTTCCATTACAATAATCGCGAGCGGAAAAGTGTTGGAAAGTAAATACAAATGTACGCATGTGCTAAATGTTAGCAACATTTTGTTGTGTTATATCTTGTGGGTAAAAACTATTGAGGAGTGGTGGTGTTTTTCCCTCACGTTTTGTTTACCCATTGAATTGTATCGATTGCTAATCTTAACCCATAGCCAGGTTTTATTATTCGATGTTTATTACAACGTGAGTGTAAACAAAACAAAAAATGACATTCCCGGAACTTGTCTTTCTTGCCTTACCGCGAAAATGTGCACTTTATAAATCGTTTTATTGTTGTTATTATTATGTTCGTACAATTGTATTCACAAGCAGTTTCCCGTAATTATTTAAACCCTTGCACCATGTACGATTCATTTATTTCTAAGCGTGTGTGGGGAGCCGTAGTGTAGGAGATCACACAATGCCCTACGAACCTGGCAACCTGAGTTCCATTCCTGCTCATGGTCAGCAACACCAATGATGATTCTATGAACTGGTCATGGCCCTTTCCTCGGTCGAATCAGTCTTAAATGAGTATGTGGTGCGGTGTATAAACATCACCGCTGGCCTCCCCCACCCCCTAGTGTACCGTGCCAGCCTTCGTAGGTGCTCGCTAACAGCACTTGCCCCAAAAGTATGTTAAGGCCACACGGGGGATCTTTGGCTTGCCTTCTGAAGAATTTTTTTTCTGCATTGTGCCAAAGCTTTGGAATGTTGTACTTATTTCAGCACTTATTTAAACCCTTTTACCTTCATTACTTATAACATATTACATTTGTGTGGAGGGGAAAAAAAGCATTGTTGTGATATTTTTTCTCCTTTGCTGTGTTTACACATCGGAACGAATTTACTGATTGCCGTACTTACATGATGCTGGTCTCTACTGCTGAAAATAGATTTCAGCTTTTAGTGGACTTTTATTGCTTGGTCATGAATAACGGTCGGCATGTATCCGTACAGAAATGCAAGAAACTGGAATACATCACGTAAACCACTAAAGCCTTTGAATTATTAATGTGTGGGTGACCCATCTCCCGCAGTAACTGTAATTATTCAAATAGCCCTATAAATAACTTTAGGGGCACGTGTTTATGGGCATGTAGGGTAACGCTTTGTTTTTGTATGACATTGGGAATTTTAAATACAGATTCAGCCCGTAGAACAAATATCGCCTTTTATTTTATCCTATATTTACTTAGGAAAGCCTCAGTGAATCTCAAGACTCAGTGGGGGAGCGGGTCCTGGATTGGAATGTTTGGCCCCAAAACATTCTTTCATTCTCATTTTGTTTTTTCAGAGTTTGACAATTTTTTGGAAGCCTTTCTTAAGGTTTTTAAGGGTCTTACGCACCTGGCCATTTGAGTTCGAATCCTGGCCAACGGTCAAACAAATCCCACGACAGCGATAGATTGACAAGAGGCCCAGGGAGCAGCAGCTCAGAGACTATACAAAGGTAGACATTGTGCACTTATTTAGAAAAACACAATAGTTTCGTTTAAAGAGGGATGTGACGGCTTGGTGAGACCTCCGTCCAGGCATCAAATGATCCCGACCAATGATGATCATGAATATGATGACGATGATGATCATGAATATGCTGATGATGATCATGAATATGGTGATGTTGATCATGAATATGGTGATGATGACATGAATATGGTGATGATGATCATGAATATGGTGATGATCATGAATATGGTGATGATGATCATGAATGTAATGATGATCATGAATATGGTGATGATGATCATGAATGTAATGATCATGAATATGCTGATGATGATCATGAATATGGTGATGATGATCATGAATATGGTGATGATGACATGAATATGGTGATGATGATCATGAATATGGTGATGATGACATGAATATGGTGATGATGATCATGAATATGCTGATGATGGTCATGAATATGGTGATGATGATCATGAAGATCATGAATATAATGACCATGAATATGGTGGTGATCATGAATATTAATATGATCATGAATATTAATATGAAGATCATGAACATGATGATGATGATGAAGACACTCATAGAGGACCTCCCCCCCCCCATCCCCACCCCTCCATCGTGACTCAGACCCTGGACGAGGTGATCAAGGAGCTGATGGCGTGCGTCAACCGCGAGCTGTCCGAGCGCCAGCTCCTCGCGGCCTCGGCCTTCGCGACGGTGCCGCCGTCCGGCTCGACGCAGTCGCTGACGTCGCCGCTGTCGGCCGGCGTTCCCGGACTGGCGGGGGCCGTGGGCTCGGCGGCCCCGCTGGGCGGGGCCCTGGCGGGCTCGCTGGGGGGGACGCTTGCCCCCGCGCGCCTCGAGCTGTCCGTCGCCCCGTCGGCGCCCGACGCCTCCCCGGAGTCGTTTGTCTTCGAGTTCACGGGCGGGGAGCCCAGGGCGGCTTTCGAGCAGATGCTGGAGGAGACGAAGCGCAAGCTGGGTACGTCCACGTGCACGCGCGCGCGAGCGCCCGAGTGTACACGTGTGTGTGTATACGTACAGTGAGGGAAACAAGTATTTGATCCCCTGCTGATTTTGTACGTTTGCCCACTGACAAAGAAATGATCAGTCTATCATTTTAATGGTAGGTTTATTTGAACAGTGACAGACAGAGTAACAACAACAAAATCCAGAAAAACGCGTGTCAAAAATGTTATGAATTTATTTGCATTTTAATGAGGGAAATAAGTATTTGACCCCTCTGCAAAACATGACTTAGTACTTGTTGGCAAAACCCTTGTTGGCAATCACAGAGGTCAAACGTTTCTTGCACACATCCCAGGAGGGATTTTGTCCCACTCCTCTTTGCAGATCTTCTCCAAGTCATTTAGGTTTCGAGGCTGACGTTTGGCAACTCGAACCTTCAGCTCCCTCCACAGATTTTCTATGGGATTAAGGTCTGGAGACTTGCTAGGTCACTCCAGGACCTTAATGTGCTTCTTCTTGAGCCACTGCTTTGTTGCCTTGACCGTGTGTTTTGGGTCATTGTCATGCTGGAATACCCATCCACGACCCATTTTCAATGCCCTGGCTGAGGGAAGGAGGTTCTCACCCAAGATTTGATGGTACATGACCCCGTCCATCGTCCCTTTGATGCGGTGAAGTTGTCTTGTCCCCTTAGCAGAAAAACACCCCCAAAGCATAATGTTTCCACCTCCATGTTTGACGGTGGGGACGGTGTTCTTGGGGTCATAGGCAGCATTCCTCCTCCTCCCAACACGGCGAGTTGAGTTGATGCCAAAGAGCTCCATTTTGGTGTTATCTGACCACAACACTTTCACCCAGTTGTCTTCTGAATCATTCAGATGTTCATTGGCAAACTTCAGACGGGCATGTATATGTGCTTTATTGAGCAGGGGGGACCTTGCGGGCGCTGCAGGATTTCAGTCCTTCACGGCATAGTGTGTTACCAATTGTTTTTTGGTGACTATGATCCCAGCTGCCTTGAGATCATTGACAAGATCTTCCCGTGTAGTTCTGGGCTGATTCCTCACCGTTCTCATGATCATTGCAACTCCACGAGATGAGATCTTGCATGGAGCCCCAGGCCGAGGGAGATTGACAGTTCTTTTGTGTATCTTCCATTTGCGAATAATCGCACCAACTGTTGTCACCTTCTCACCAAGCTGCTTGGAAATGTCTTGTAGCCCATTCCAGCCTTGTTTTGGTCTACAATCTTGTCCCTGACATCCTTGGACAGATCTTTGGTCTTGGCCATGGTGGTAACTTCGGAATCTGTTTGATTGATTGCTTCTGTGGACAGGTGTCTTTTATACAAGTAACAAGCTGAGATTAGGAGCACTCCCTTTAAGAGTGTGCTCCTAATCTCAGCTCGTTACCTGTATGAAAGACACCTGGGAGCCAGAAATTTGTCTGATTGAGAGGGGGTCAAATACTTATTTCCCTCATTAAAATGCAAATCAATTTATAACATTTTTGACATGCGTTTTTCTGGATTTTGTTGTTATTCTGTCTCTCGCTGTTCAAATAAACCTACCATTAAAATTATAGACTGATCATTTCTTTGTCAGTGGGCAAACGTACAAAATCAGCAGGGGATCAAATACTTTTTCCCCTCACTGTATGTGTGTGTGTGTGTTCAGGCGTGGTGCTGGCCACCCAACCCCTCGTGTGCCGTGCCGGCCTTCATAGGTGCTCGCTGACAGCGCTTGCCCCATCAGTCCGTCACAGGCTACACGGGGGGGGGGGGGGGGGGGGGAGGGATCATTGCGTGTACGTTTTACTCGTCCACGCTGGAGGAACCCGAGCCGTCTCGCCGTGACGGGCCCGTCGCCGGCGTTAAACGAACGCTCGCTCGTCGCCGTTCGTCTCCGCGGGGGGCGGCGGCGTCGGCGACGAGCGAGCGTTCGTTTAACGCCGGCGATCGTTTTTTGTTTCTCGTTTTGCAGCGCAGACAAAGGACCGCTGGGACCCCGAGTTCCTCAAGGCCATTCCCATCATGAAGACGCGCAGCGGCATGCAGGTGCGCGTCCGGGCGATTGAAAATTGCCTTTTAACGCGTTTCGCGTGTCGCGGCACAGCAACGAAACAGAGTAGAAGCGAGCGCCTCGGTTTCCAAATAAGCGTTTCTCTACAAATCACATTTTCTCTCCCCCCCCCCTCCCCCGTGTCGCGCAACCCGTGATCGCGTTTGAGTTACGCGGGGCACGAACGGATGAATGGCGGGGCGTATAAATGGAAAAACGAAGACGTCCGTAAGAAATCGCGCGCGGTAATTTGAGTCGCAATTACCCGATGTTTTATTTGTGAAGCCACGTGTCGAGTACATTCGTGTGCACGTCGGAAATTTGCGCGATTCGTTTTCACGGCGGCGGCCCAATTGGAGCCGTTTTGCGCCTTATTGCCTCATTACTACTCCGTTCTCATTCGCTGCATCCCCCACTATGCGTATATTTTCAAATGTATGTGAGCACCTATAAATGTCTAACCCGGTCATGAGAAGGGTAGGGATCTCTTTTTTTTGGAAGTACACAACGGTCTCTGGTCTTCCTATCAAGAGCGAACGGGAATCACTGGAACAAGGAACGCTGCCCACGGTCAGCGCACGTCGCTGTTAAGAAATCTGCACCAACCTACGTGGCGGTTGGTGCAGATCTCTAAACCGCCTTTGTCCACCCAGCGGTGTAAGTTGGTAAAGCCGCAGTCACGTGTGAGGTGGGCCAAAGTGTGGGTACTCCCTCCTCTTTCAAGATATCTGGCAAGCGTGGAAGTCCAGATGGCCTCTAGTGGGGGGGGGGAGGCTTCCCTATCGCTTCCTCTAGTGGGGGCCCTTCTGCCAGCGGTGGTGGGAGCAAAGCAATTGCAGGGCTGCACCTCTGTACCACTTATTGGGAGCAAAAGAGAAAAGTCCATGGGACAGCCAGGGGCAGCACGAACGAGGCACGGGCTGTTCGTGGGGGCTTGCACCAGCTTCTTTCACACGAGAAGTGACTTGCGTCGCTCCTAACTAAAACATTTCAAAGGGCCCTCGCGGCGGCTGTCCCTGCGCGACACAACGTCACTGGGCAACCTGGACTGCGAGCAGGCATTAGTCTGCCTGTGAGGGAGCGGCGATTTCCGCGTGTGTGTTCGGTACCAAATGAGCGAAGTTGTAGATGGTTTTGCAAATTTTGGCAAACTTTGGCCCATGACGACCACCTCGCGCGGTTCCCGCGACTCGTTTCAAGCGACGTCGGGGGGGAGGGGGGGGGATCTTTAACGTCCGCCATGAAGCGGACGGCGCGTGTACGTTAGCGGACACATTGGCGGTCGCAACACTCCGCAACGTTAACCGGGGCTGCCCGCCAAATTTCGAATGGCGAACCTCCGCGACGGGCGGCGGACTCGCTCCCGCGGGGCCCACCGCGTCTCCGCTCGGGGGGGGGGGCTGCTCTACGCCCTGCGGTTTCATCATCCCACGCCACCCTCAACGCTTAAATCCCCCCCCCCCCGCGTCCCTCCCACGAAAAAAAACGGCGACCTTCCACACGCGTGCGTTCGTCTTCTTCGTTCGTACGACCGACGTAGATGCAGAGCGACAACTTTTACAATTTCAGGTGGTGAAGCCAGGCGACCGGATCGGGCGTTGCGTCGGTAACGACGTTTGTGCGGTCCGTTCCGTCGCCCGTGCCGCCCCCTCCAGTTCTCGTGCGCTTCGCCGAGCCTCGGCGCGTGGGACCACTCCTCCGAGGTGTGGGTGTGCAACAGCGACGGCTACGTAGGCCAGGTGTGCCTGCTGAGCGTGCGGCCCGACCCCATGGTGGAGGCCTGTATCGCCGTCTGCTCCGCGCGCATCCTCTGCATCGCGCCCGTGCCTGGGCTGGGGCGCGGCACCAGGTTCGCTCAACCCCGCCCGGCCACCTGGGGTGTCTGTGTGTCTGGCTGTGTCTAGCTGTGCCTGTCTGTGTCTAGCTGTGTCTGTCTGTCTGTCTCGTGTATGGCTGTGTCTAGTTATGCCTGTCTGTGTATGGCTACGGACCCGGCGACTCGAGTTCGATTCCCGCTCGCGCTCGACACCAGTGACGAATTTCTTAACTGGTCATGGGCCTCCCCTGGGTCGACCCAGCCTTAAATGAGTACCTGGTGCGATGTGTATATGTCGCCACTAGGGAGACAAAGGTGGACGGGTGCGATAGTGCTGGCCACCCACCCTCTCATGTGCCGTGCCAGTCGTCACAGGTGCTCGCTGACAGCACTTACTCCAACAGTATGTTAAGGCTATACGGGTGATTCTTTACGTATGGCTGTCCGATTGCTGGAAGCTTGCCTATCTGTGTCTGAGTGATGCCGTTTGTATGGCCCGCTGGCTAGCTCTCCGTTTGTGTGACCGTGCGTCCTTCTGTCTGTCGGTGTGCCTGTCCGTCTTCCTGCCCGCCGGTGCAGCACTTGTGTATGTACGTACGTTGAACTTCTTTGGGCACCGTACGAGGCCGGGGCAGCTCCACTCCCGTGTTGTGCGACGAGGCAACGCTTCCATCAGCAGCTTCCCCCCCCCACCCCACCCGCCACGGTTCCGCCCCTCGTAGGGATCGTCCTGCGTCTCACCGGCCGCTGCCGGAGATCCCAAGCTCCGACGACATCGGCTCGCCGCCCGCCCTCGACCCGGCTGCCGTCGCCACCTCTTCGTCGTCGTCCTCCTCCTCCTCCTCGTCTCCCTCGCAGCTCCAGGCGGGCGAGCAGAGGCCCCCTCGTGTGGGCGCCGCGGGGAACCCGTTTGCGAGCGACGCGGAGGAGTCGGAGGGGGAGGCCTTGTCCCCGACCTCAAGGCCGCGTGGTCGCGGGTCCAAGCAGCCGGGCGGAGCGCGGGACGGGCGCCCGGATTTCACGCTGAGCCGTAAGCACCGCCTGCGGAAGCGGGAGGCCGTGTTTGCGTGTCATCCCTGCTCAGATATTCGCTTTTTAATTTCAAATTTATAAATTAGAAAGCATTTCGGTCGTTGTGCTTCGAAGCATGTATTTGTTTTTACTGTGTTTACTGGAACGCTGACGTGAGATGTTACGGACGTGTCACAGAGAGCGTCCTTATTAAGGACAGGCACCTTAAATTAAGTACTGAGCTTCAAGACTTCACGTAACCCTAAGCACTATTCAAGCAAGTTTTTTTTTTTTTGCACACCACCGCACACACCGCCAGAGTATCGTGAGCACAAAATACACCGAAATGGATGCGGCGTGTCAAAATTATTCCCGGGACACCGGTTCTGGCTGAAATTAATCACTGTGGGTCGACTATATAAAAAAAAATATGAAGAGACGGTCGCAGCTTTGGCCTCGTTGCACGGCTCTAACTCAATTCTCCCGGGCACCTTCAGTGGACGACCGTACGGCCTCGAAGGACCCGGGGGCGGAGACAACAAGCTCGGACGACGAGCACGAGGACCCCGCACGGCCGTCCATATCGAGCGCCTGCAGCGCCTTCCAGCCCGTCGCCTCCGCAGGCTCCATCGCTGTGGTGACGGCGGCCGCGGCGGCCGCGGCGGACGGACGGGCGATGAGACGGACGAGCCGGGGCTCCTTCCAGGCCAGTCTGGAGGAGCTGCTCAGCATGGACCCCGAGGCCCACACCAGCTCCATGTGGCTCGGCACCGAGGATGGGTGGTGAGCTGCTGCTGCACCAGGGATGATCGAACTCTCACGCCACAGTTGTCGTACGGCTCTCTGGTGGACCGGAGCAGGTAGCACGCGACAAGTAGTATCTGCAGCCATTGCGAGGAAGTATACTTTGTGCGGTGGGCCAAGTGACTCGGGCAGACCAAATTGAGCCCAGGGTAAATGTGTGGATTTTTCTAAGTCTATGAGAATCTACACGAGTCTGTGTCTCTCTGTGTAAACCCAGGGCTTAATCTCTTGCTCAGTGTCTTCCGGGTCGCAGGTAGACTGGAGAGTAGGCGCGTGATTGGTAACCACAGCCATAGCCAGACCAATACCTGATGTGGTGTATTAAGGTGGACGCTCACAACAGCACGTGTCCCGACAGCCCACAATGTATGTATGTCGAACTTCTTTCGCACCGTATGTAGCCAACCGTGATAATCAGAGGTGTGGGGTAAGGACAACAAACTGAACGCAAAAGGCAGTTCTAAAGAAATTAGTTTTAAATCTAGATTTAAACTCTAGATTTTAAATCTAGATTTAAACTCTAGATTTAAAACCTAGATTTAAAACTGCATGACTCCAGTGGCTTCCTAATACCGGAAGGAAGAGCGTTCCTCATAGCCGCAGAAGCGCATCTGAAAGCGCGCAATGCAGTGACCGTCTCTGTTCGATGGTTAGCCAAAAGCCGCTGCGGGGATGACCGAAGTTTGTGTGATGGTTTGTACTACTCCTTGACGAGATCGGCAATGTATTGTAGTTCATTTGTGAAATACAAAGCCACACGGGTGATCTGTGTCCCTCTGCTGGCTTCCAGCAGACCGGTCTTCACGAAGGGTCGATCGTCGGGTGATCATTATCTGACCGTGGTTGTCCTCTTCCCCGTTGCAGCATCCACGTTTACCAATCGTCGGACAACATCCGTAACCGCAAGAACAGCCTCAAGATGCAGCACCCAGCCGCCGTCATGTGCATCCTGTAAGTGGGCCTGTCCCATTGTCCCATCCCATCATCCTCTCTCTCTTTTTTCCGTTCGCACGTTTCACTCTGATGGAGCATCCTGAACTACACGCGGTACAACCAAAAATGACAGCGGGGAGCTAAACCGCAACCACCGCTACAAATTCGGCTTGTTCCCGCCTGTTGTTCCGTCCAGTGCCATCTTTCTGAAAATCTCCACAGACGTGATCTCTCTTCATGTGTTGATTTGCGCAGGTACCTGGACAACAAGGTGTTTGTGTCGCTGCTGAACGGAGACCTCATTGTGTACCAGAGGGAGGCAGGTACGATGCCCTGCCCACTAACCGAGCCTGGTCTGGCTGGCATGCAGCCCACAAACGGCATTGTTTGAATCGTAAAACAATGAAAGTACTATTATCTGAGCCTTCACGCGGATAAGAGGCTAAACAGGTGATCATTGCCCCTATTTGTGCTTGCACCAGGCCAGTCATCATGACCGTTTCATCATCAATAAATGGTGGTAATCTTAATCCTATTATTCGAGTGTTTGCGTGTACCGTATGTGTCTCCCGGAAGTAGTCTCCTACCCATGTCACTCTTGCAAACGAGATCAGTCCTAGTGTCTTGAGTTCTCACGTGGTTACACAACATAGACTCAACTCCTGGCAGCAATGTGCTCATGATATTTATCCGACCTTTTTGTGCAGCATAAATTAACCGTAATCGTCGGGTATAAGTAGGGTATAAATAACAACAACACATTCAGTCCTTTGTAAATCTGCTTTTGAATGAGGGCCTCCTCACGACTTGATAGTCATGGGGTTTTTTTTTTGGTTTACCATACTTCGCCGCTTGGGTCAGTGCAGTTGAGTGAAACGAGCGCAGATCCAGGACCGGGTCGTCTGCCACTCTCCACAAATGCAAGCCGTGGTGAAGCAATCAAACTTGGTGGGATGTAATCGTGCGCAATGACTTGATGATAATGCAGCCAGGAATCATTCGCGGAAATTATGATGTAGACACAAAGTGTGGGGGCCCCCCTTTGTTTCATTATTTTAATGAAAGTTAATTTTTCCGGCGCTGCATGTGTGGCTTGAGGAAATTGCAAGAGCTTGACCTACTTTTCACACCGCCTGCCCTTGTTTTAACGACGTCCGCGTGGGTGCGATGAAGTCAGAACATTTTTAAATATTAAAAATAGACGGTTTGGCGTCTGCGTAAGTCGCTCTCACATCCTAGAAGCGCCACGGTTGTAAGATAAGTATATAATATAAGTAACGCTTCTTCGCGTGTTAAAGAACTTGCTTTTTATTTACAAAGAACAAAATCGGCCACACCAACAGGGCAATGTGCCGCATATTCGTGGGTTACCCCCGAGAGGATTTATCACGCAATGATGTGCAGCCCTTTTGTGAATGCTCTGCTGGATGGAGAGAGCCTCTCCCCATGCCGTGCAGATTGGCGGGGCTTGGCCAGACCTCACCGTGCGGGTTTCGGTAAAGACGAACTGCATAGACGAGGTCGCATAGGACACCGCTGCACTAACTTCTGGTGCATTTAGGGGGTGGTGTGGTAGTGCCTCGTATCTTTTTTTTCTTTGGAATTCCCATCGCTCATGGGAATTCCAAAGAATTGCTCCTAGAATTTTTGTTCAGATGATATGAGGCCCCCCCTCCCTCCAGCATGACAATGTCAGACCACGCTTGACCCTGACAACATTCTCAGGGTCATCGAGCGCTCCAGCGGATTTGCGTTTCCCCATCCACCCCACGGCCCACATCTGGCACCATCACGTTTCCATCTGTTCGGCCATTTGGAGGGTGTCCTGCACGCGCAGCGTTTTGACAATGACACTGCCGTACAGGACACTCGGTAAACGGTTACGCGATGCTGATGAATCCTTGGAAAAGCGAGGGATTTTCTGCCCTGGACCCACATTTGGCGCCGGCGCTTTCGAAAAGGATGGACGCCCGCCTAGTGCCAACGATATGCACCCTGCTGCCAATTCCACGGTGCTCCCAATTCAGGGTCTTGATCCACTTCAGGAATGTATTCTTGAATGGTGTGGTCTCCCAGTGTGCTGGCGGAGGGGGGGGGGAGGTCATGCGCTGTGGGCCATGGTTTAGCGTTGAAGCAGCTGCTGCTGCAGGCTGTTCAGAACCCATCGCATGCAGTTTGCCATGGGTTCGTGCCGTTCTATAACTGCAGAATGAGCTTAAAGTAAAAAAAATGGACAGGTGCAGCCCTGTAAGTGCTTGCTCACATCCACTATTGGGAGAAGGGCCTCCCACCGAGGGAACTCGAGAGGCTCGCTAGCGGATATTTGGCATGCATAATGATGACGGGAGATTGTTTTGACGATGGTGGCTATGATGATGTTAACGATGTCGGCGGTCGTGATGACTTCGGAGGATCGTGATAGTGGTAACGAAGCTCATGGTGAGGGGATGTTAACTACCTCACCTGGTATACAGGAGGTCGTGGGTTCGATCCCGACCCTGATGCCTGTATGTTTAGAGTTTGCACGTTTTTCCCGTGGTCGCGTGGATTTTTCTCCGCCACATTTAGAAACACTCGTTGAGAGTATTTGGCTGCTCCTGTAAATGGCCACGCAACAAGCCACTTCTTTGAGCCATCATTTGTGATAGCCAGGTCGCTTCCGAAAAATAACTACATAGCTCAGTCAGCCTTACCCGGTCAAAATATAAACGTTGAGTTCAGTCTCAACGGTTAATGGTGACAGTGGGCCCCCTAACTAGCTCGCCCCCCGCAGGCTGCTTCTGGGACTCTCAGCACTCGCACACCCTCACCGTGGGCTCCCCGGGCAACCCGGTCACCAAGATGGCGCACGTGGCCGGCCGCCTGTGGTGCAGCTGCCAGAACATCATTGTCGTCATCAACACCGCCAACCTCGTCCCGGAGGTGCGACTCAAAACACCCCCGCGGCTCGATGACGCGACGAGCGCTCGAGCGTGCCACGTGGGAGACTTGTAACGCTCACCCACTCACTCGCTCAGCTGCCACATTCGTTCACTGCGGTTCTTTATGCACACGCGAAATCCTGTCTCCCGTCTCTCCTTCTTCTTCTTCGGAGCATTATTCCCAGCCTTGCCCATGCCCACTGCTCCCTTCTCACCTCGCCCCAGCTGACGCCTGTATCGCACCCATGACTCTGACAGCCGAGACCCGCTCGCCGTTTGTCAATTTCTGATCGATAATCGGTCGCTTCTTCTCTGCTACCGCCGATGTCTGAAACTCCTTGCCTCTGATTGTTCCCTACTACGATCAACTCCCTGACTCTCCGAGTCCGGGTTAAAGAACTTCCTCTTCACCTCTGCCTTTGACTCTGCATCCTTCTTCACACCCCCCCCCCCAACCCGATCCCACCCCAGTCACTCTCCCTCCCTCTCCCTCGAACGTGCATCCCTTGACTGTTCAGCGCCCTTGAGGTGCGACTACATTTAGACAGTATCAATCCACTTTGTATTGTACGTTACCCGAATGCCATATTAACGGATTACTGGGTGGAGAGGTCACTGGGCTAAAGGCCCAGAGGTTGAATGTGTTGCGTGATTTATACATTACTGGTTTATACCAACAGAAAACGCAGATGCTTTCCAGCCCCGTGGCACTATTTACGGACTGCTTCGGGAATATGTGCAGCGGAACTTAATTTCCGTGTTTGTCCGGGCCAAGCTGCTGGTAAACAGCCTGAAATGGTCATAAAATATCTGGGGGAAGGCATTCAGATTGAACCCTTCGACATTAATCAAGCTCACGGGCAATGGTGGTGGGGGGGAGGAGGCAGAGTTAATGCTTCGGAAGGAACTTGAAAACATTATTTTCTTGTAACTTCAATAGTAATGTTAAATAAACTGGGATGCCAGTGAATACACACGGTTGTCCTCAGTCATCCTGCCGCAGTTGGTGGCCTCGTCGTCATTGTCCATCGTCAACTCCACAAATCATTGCATCCTCCCCGCAGACCAAGACAACACAATTTGATTTATGAGGCATCTAGACTGTGGCCCCATCTCCAAGACGCCTTACAAACGGGGGGGGGGGGGGGGGGGGGCGAGGGAAACTTTTCCATGTAGGGCAGTTTGAGGAAGCCGGGGACTCATTGGCAAAAAGGGAATCGGGAGTCAAATGCTTCGGGGGGAGTCAGGGGAATTGAAATGAGGTGAGAGCGGGAGAGCAAACGCGTCATAGTTTGGCACGCACAGTTGTAGGGAGAAAAGAAAATTATAGTATTGATCCTGGACTTGGGAACGGGGTGGGGGGGGGGTTTCGATGGTACGATTAGGGAGACGAAGTGAATTCCACAAAGTGAATTTCCAACATTTTTGTCGGTAAGCAACCCCGATTCAAACACGTGCACGTTTTCGAAAGCCGCTTGCGCAATCCATATTTGTTTTTTTGCTGGATCGTGCTGCATGCTGAGCTTTTCTTACCTCGAGCTTTCGCCACGCTGCTGCGGGGGCGTCGTCAGTGGGTCAACTCCTGAAGATGGCCAATGTAAAATGTCAACTCCTGTGTGAATGGCGGGCAACATTTGTGTGTGTGTGTGTGTGCCAAAAGCTAAACCTACCTGCGATCAATGGGCGATTGAGCCTCCAGCAGCCAAACACCTCCACGCGTGTGGATCAACGTTCTTCCCCAGAACATCAGTTGGTTGAGTCTATAAGGACTCATCTTAAAACATGTGTTGTCGCTTGCATCCCCGTCTGTGTAGGTTATGTGCCTTGTACAGTGTTTTTACTATTTGTTTTTTGCTTCACTCAGTTTAACGTCTTAAGGGTTTTTATTTGTTAAGGGTTTAATTAAGTTTTATTCTTTCGTGGTTTCTGAATGGTTGGGTTATTTTAAGCATTGCTCTTTGAGGCTAAAAGCTCTGTATGAAAGCAACTTTCAGCTTGGTTCGTTAGAAACCTTGACAGAACAAATAACCAACACACAAGCCCGACTACACTTGGATCGTTACCGACGACAAAAAAACACTTTTGTTGATTTTACAACAACAACAAAAAATAACCCTTGCCACGTCCGTCCGTCTGCCGGTCCGTGTCTCCCCGACTCCCCCCATCTCACGGGGCTTACCATCGCCGCAGCACACGTTCACGGTGGGGAGTGATGCGTCGCGTGCCGTCTCGTGCCTCGTGGCGTCGGGGCTCGGCGTGTGGGTCTCCGTGCAGAGCAGCGCCTCCGTGCGCCTCTACCACGCGCAGACGCGCGACTGCCTGGCCGAGATCGACGTGGCGCCCGCCGTGCACAAGATGCTCGCAGGTGCGTCATCGTCGTCGTCGTTATCGGTCTTCGTTTTTTTTCGTCGTCATTATCATCGTCGTCGTCGTCATCATTATTGATGTCATCATCATCGTCGTCATTGTCGCCTTTGTCATTGTCGCCTTTGTCATTGTCGTCTTTGTCATTGTCGTCATCGTCATAATCATCGTCGTCGTCATCATCGTCGTCATCATCGTCGTCATCATCGTCATTGTCATCGTCATCACCGCCGTCACCTAATTGGCCGCGTAGCCTCTTGTCAGCACGAGTTGATTCCCGCACTCGTGGTTACGAGTGTTAGGTTCGATCCCCGCTCTCTGTGATTTGATGGATTGCCACGATGATTGGGGTTGTAATTTTATCAAAGAAGTCATTCTTTTGTTTGTCTCATTGCTATTGTTTGTGGTTAGTTTCTTGTTCGATATGTTTTGTTACGTACATTCTTTCTTGTGTCTTCTTATCTGTCTCCTTTGTATTTTATTTTGTAAATTCTACTGTCTGCCTCGTGTTATATTTTCTTCTCATGCATCGTGTCTAATTGGTACACTCTTTTTCTTTCTCTCTTATTTTCTTTCTCTCGTTTTCATCGCTTAGCCTTTTGGAAGCATTTTCACAGGATTTGCATTTTTGTTATAAAACGATCGCTTCTTACACGTACAATTCCACGTTTGTACCAACAGCGTGAGAAGCAATTTTAATAAAGAATCACGAGTCATTAGATGCCATCAACTCTGTGTCCTTATTTTGGAATGGTTACTGAAAGCCCTGCATCCACTCGGGATTGATTTTACCGTCCCGGTGGCTCAGCGGTAGAGCGGGCGGCTCCGTGGTCGATTGAAACTTGCCCCCTCGCGCGCGTTGCGTGTCTCCAGGCGCCGACGCGATCATCCGGCAGCACAAAGCGGCGTGCCTGCGCGTCACGGCGCTGCTGGCCTGCAAGGACATGCTGTGGGTGGGCACGAGCGCCGGCGTGCTGCTCACCCTGCCGCTTCCGCACATCCCGCCCAAGCTGCCCTCCACGGCGCGGCAGAACGCCGCGGCCGCTCCGTTGCCGGCTCCCGTCACGGTGGCGGCGGCGACGGCGGCGACGGCTACGTCGCCGTTAGGGATCCAGGGGCCGCCCCTCCTGGCCCAGCTGTTGCCCATGGGCTCGACACACGGCCACACGGGCCACGTTCGCTTTCTCACCTCCATCGAGCTGCCACTGGACGCGGTTGCTGAGACTGGGCCGGTCGGATCGGCCGACAAAGGTGCGCTCGCGTTCCTCGGTTGCAGCGGTTGAACTGAAACTAAACGAATTTTTTTATTTTTATTTACCTGGCCACAAATTTAAATCGGCGAAGTGGCTTGTCACGTGGAAATTTACAGCAGCCATATCATTTACAGTAACCATAAACGCATGGTGCTAAATGTGGAGGGTAAAACCGGAGGAGCCGGAGAAAAATCTACACGACCACGGGGAGAGAGACACGCAAACTCCAAATATAGAGGAGTCAGTGTTGGGATCGAACCCACAACCTCCTGTATACCAGGAGAGGTAGTTAACAATCGTGCTGCTGCGCACGGCTCTCCGATGCGGTCGTCGTTCGGCACGACGTCCGACGTTTCGCTGCACGTGCTCAAGAGGCTGCCATCGCGTGGAAGAGCGTAACGTCGTGCCGTACATCACGCGGCACGACCTGAAAACGCATCGCAGAAAGGTGCGCGTGTTTTGCAGCGTAAACCTATCCATGTCGCACCTCCAATTGGGGCGGTTGGCTACGTATGGCGCGAAAGAAGTTCAGCCTACATACATACACGGGGTGGAGCAGTGGTGCGCAGTGGTTAGGGCACTGCTCTATGAGCCAAGCAACCCAAGTTCAATTTCTTGCCACGGCTAACATCAGTGGCGAGTGATATCTGAACTTGGGCCTTGGCCCCCAGCCCCTCCCCCTTCGTGAGCCCACGCTGACCAGCGTGGTGAAGTATGGTCAAATAAAACGCCATGACCGACATGGCTTGGGTGCGGGAAGGCCTTCATCCAACAGTATACTGACAAGGGGGTTTAAATTATAGTTTTGTTTTATTGTTTTTAAATGTCACCGACAGTTGTAGCATTGTTAATGTCATTATCATTCCTACTCCAGAAGTTTATTACTGAACATCATTACCCAGTTGTGCAAATAACGACTTGCCGTGCATTGAAGTGAAAAACATCTCAACAGTTTAAAATTGTCCCAAACACCTTCTTTGGTTCTTTTGGTAAAGTCACGTAGAATGAGAATAAAATAATAAAATAAAATAGAGCAATACAATTCTCACGACGTTGATCATTGTAACAAACCTGTCATCCCGACAGGTTTGTTCCTTTCACCTGAAGAAGGCCACTTGTGTGGCCATTTGTTTGGCCTTCTTCTTCACCTGAAGAAGGCCACTTGTGTTGTGGCCGAAACGTCGTGAGAATTTTATTGTTTTATTTTATTATTTTATTCTCATTCTACGTGACTTTACCGAAAGAACCAAAGAAGATGAATCCTTGCAGTCACGAAAGCTTTAAATCGAAATGTCCCAAACACGTTTACCGAGAAGAGAAACAACAAAATAATAAAATATATATAAAACAATAAAAATTCGCACGACGTTTCGACCATAACTCAAACGGTCATCTTCAGGTGTGTTGATTTGCATAAATTTATTTTTAAACGGCGCATGCAAACCAACACACCTGAAGATGACCGTTTGAGTTATGGTCGAAACGTCGTGCGAATTTTTATTGTTTTATATATATTTTATTATTTTGTTGTTTCTCTTCAACATGACTTTACCGAAAAAACTAAGAATATGAATTACTGCAGTCACGAAAGCTTTAAATCAAAACGTTTACCGAGGTTATACAAAGTGCTTACCCACCTCTTAGTGTCATCTTCGATATTTTTGTTACCATCTTAACGGGACGCACACTCACGGGATTCGAATGCCGTGTTCAGACTTGCATCGGCTCGCGCTCTGTGTCAGTGACGTGCGAATCGCATTACGGATCGTTACCGACGACGGTGATTAGACGTGTAAAGATTCGCCTGATCATTGTAACAATAGTCAGTCCGATTTACAGCGCTCGCTAAAACCTGTGCAGTGAAGCGCCACCACGAGCGATTCGATCGTCAAACCTCGGCTTCAATTTTTAACTCGAAGCAATTTTTTTGTCCTTTTGGTTTTAACCGTCTCATTTGTATTGTTCCTCATTCAATTTCCGTGTCACTTGCAGTTTTGTCGGCCTCATCAGCCTTAACAAAGTACGAGCGTACAAAGTTAGAAATAATCTATTCTCACACGGCACCGTTCAAAATCTTAACGTGACCGCAAAGAGTCCCGGTTCAACTTGACGAATCGACGCGTTACGCTTTGCACACCGATTAGCACCTCCGATTGGCTACACACAGTGCGACACGAAGTTCAACATACACACACCGAACGAAGACGACGACGACGACGCTCAACATTGTCAAAATGTTTTCCCCATTTTCGTGCGACGGCCCTGCCCAGGCCGCCTGGGCACCATCTACGACGGAGGTTGCGTGAACCCTCACCACCAACAGCAGCAGCAGCAGCACACGTGGGCTCGCCAGGGCTCCGCGCGGCGCCGGGCCCAGGCCGCCGCTCCCCCTCGCACGCGCACGCTCGTCATCAGCGGCGGAGACGGCTACGAGGACTTCCGGCTCAGCGGAAGCAACGAATCCGCCGGGCGGGATGACAGCACCAACCACTTGCTGCTGTGGCGTGTCTGATTGGGCGGGTCTCACAAGCAGCGCCAGCTGTTGCTGTGGCCCGGGGCGGGCGGGCGGGCGGGCGGGCGGGCGGGCGAGCAGCCTCCCGCTGTGAGAACGTCGCAGCGGTCGTCGTCGTCGTCGTGTTATTTATTGTTTTATTCGTTTGGTTTGTTGATGCCGTTATGAGTGGCGGAGAGCACTGTGGGGGTGGGGAGGCACAAGTTGTTGGGGTTGGAGGACCGGACACAGGCTTTGAGCGGTGCTCGGAACAAAGCGAGATGTTGCGATGCACCTTTGCACCCAATGTGCGTTCATTAACGATGTACGTCACAACACAACATGAATTGGATAGATGAAGCCTCCGGATTGATTCGCATCTGAAGATTATGTTCAAGTAAGGGGGACTGCACGCATGAAGGGAGATTTGGAGAAAAATGAAGAATGTTTTTTTTTAGCAAGTAGTGAGGAGGTAAGAGTAAGCTGCAGGGCAGAAAAGAGGGACCACAAGATGGTGAGATTGAATAAGTGAAGAATGATTTTGGCCGGGGGGGTGGGGGTGTGGTGCACGCTGGTTAATCCGGCAAATTTGAAGGCAGGGTTGGTGGCTCGTGCTCAGACCATGTGTGTGGGACAGCCACCGTCAAAGGCAGTGAGTGGCCCGTGTGAGGCAGTGCAGCAAGGAGGTGACAAAAGTGGGGTACTAAAATGTAATGCTTTTTTGTACCACCAACACACCACATTCCTCGACCCTTGCACACGTGTTCAGTGCAATCATCTTACAATTTGTATCAAATATATGTTTGTGTGTGTGTCTCTCTAGCCTGGCAAGCTGAAGTCAGAATCTTGACTTCGGATAGCCACGTCCACGCATGCGGCTAAAAAGCATGGGTAGTAAGTTGATGTGAAGACGTGCCAACGTTTGTCCGGGTTTATGGCAAAAAAACCTTTTCCTTAAATGTGACGCCAAACCCAGATTGCGTTTGTGGTATCGCCATCTCAAATCGGGCATCACCCTGCAGCCGGGTTCGCAAGCTTGCATGATGACATCACCCGGACAGGTTTGGCGCTACCACAGGCGGCGCTTTGTCATGCGGCGTGCCTGATGGTGGCGAGAGAACAAACGTTGCTTTTTTTGAGCATCCATGTCATGGGACGCGGCCCTTAAGTGGTACAAAATGCTTGCCAAGCAAGACCGACACCTGCCCAAGGGTATACAACGTTTAACAACCCAAATTGTGTGCGTCTTCCAAAAAGTAGACCAGCGGTGGAATTCAGTTGTGGCGATGGAGAGTCAGGCACATTGCTACGCTGTGCACATTTCAAGATCGCAGGTGGAAATTTGTATGCATCCGGCATGCTCGTTTCATGACAAAACGTGAACATTGCTATATACGTGTTAATAGAAGCGTTGTATTTCTATTGACGGATGTGCACCCTTCTCTGCAACACTGCTCCGCAAGTGTGACCAAATTTCTCAAAATCCCTGGTTGGTTCGTTGGAATATATACTGAACAAGTCCTGCCTTTGATGCAAACTCATTTTCGTAAAGTCCAAATTGCATCGCCACAAAATTGTATTTATTTATATGAAGGTTTGCGTCCTACTGTAAGCTTAGTCTGCGTGTTCCATTTGGCCCCAATTGTTGAAGCTCCGCAGTGTTAACAAAGCCCTATCGAACAATGCCGACTACAATGAGCGTCCACGTTGAAAACAATCTCAAAAAAACCTGTGCCAATGTCCAGTCAACTTGTCTCAAAATTATGCTAAGAAACACCTTGATAATAATCACGTGCAAAATTGAGGCAGAACAGAGTTTATAGTGCTATACGTTTGCCCTTTTTTTTACACTTTTAACTTTGGGACACTTCACTGAGTTTGTGTATTCCGCGGACGTCAACGGAGCGCACTTAATTGATTTGTAAGTTTATTTCCTGTGGCCCTGGCAGATGTCATCCTAGTTCCTGTGCAATATACTGATGAGACACATTTACAGTAGGAAAACGATTTACTTTGACTTGTATGCGTCACCTCTGATTTTTTTTGGTTTTTTTTAATTAGCGTTAAGCAAATTACACGTTTTATAGACTTGTGGAAAACAAAAAAAAGACTTGGGCTTGCAATTTGATCGACAGAATGCGGCAGTCGCCATATTTACGAACAAACGAGTTACATGGCCTAATCGTGTGGTAGAAAGTTTACCCTTTGAATCTCTTTTGCTGCCAATTTCGAAAACAATGTAACCAAAACCTTGAGGCGATATTTTTGAGAACATTCACGATTCAGAAACGTTTTTGTCTCGGACCAGAACATGACTGTTTTTAGACAAATCTTACGTATATTTTTTTTATTCACACTGTATCGCAGGAAACTATATAAATGACGTTGTTTTAAGCGATAACTATTTTGAGCATTCGTAAGAAAAAAAAAAGAAAAATCACATTTCGTTAACCTGTTCATCATTGAAAACCACACCGGAAATGTTGTACGTTTCAAATTCACACTTAACACCTTATTCACGGTACATGTATATTTTTTTTGTCTCCACATCAACAGCACTTAAATCACAAGCCGTCGAGCCGCTGCGAGATTGCGATTACGTGCGCGCATGGGCTTAACGAGCCCTGATTTTGTGGGCGCTTCGTGCACACGGTGGGATATTTTTAGCGGGCAGCGGTGTGGGCGCTGCTGTCACGTTGGATTGACTTTGCGTCACCTGTAAGACGATGATCCCTTCCTGTGCATAGCCTGCTCCCACTGCACAACAGCGTAAGCAGTCAACGTCACCGAGCGTTAAAAAACAAAAAACAAAGGCTCATCGCGGCTTTTTCAAACGGATATAAATGTATTACGATGGGGTTTTTTCCATTTTGTTTTATACTTATCACTTTCGTTTTGACACTTCTAATTTATACGCACAGTGAAGTTTTTTTGTTGTTCATTTTTTTAATATCTATATTATAGCCGTTCTGCCCATATAGCATGCGTCGCGTGATTGGTCCAGTATTTTATTTTGTAAGGCTGCAGCGCGAACACAGTCTCTTTAAGTCGCAACTCAACCACCCACTTCATTTTGAGTGGATTTATATTTTACAATCGTAGTTTGGTAGATCTCATGCTCAACCCCACATTTTTCACCGCATTTAAGACAAACAAGGGCGTATTTATATAGCGGATATTTGTGAACGACTCCTCTCGCAACACGGTTCACACACAACAGTGGCAGAGGGGAGAACGTTTGGCACTGCACTGAAAAACCTGGCGTTGGGAATTAATTTGCACGCAACAATCGCTCTCTTTATTTATAGGATGTTAGCATTGTTTTTTTTAATTCACTTTCGGTCGACAAATAGTATAATTTAATCACTTTTTTCACTCTACCACTGACCCGAGGCCTCGCTAAAGCCAGCCCAGCGTGGTTCAGCTAGCGCTAGGTTTTTCGACTGCAGAACCCGAGCCGTGCCACTAATGTCATACAATCCAGTGTACCGACTGATGCACCATGTGATGAAAATGATTAACCATGCCACTCTAGCCCTGCTTGGCCCCTGAGCCAAATTCAGAGTGCCTGTGATGCCAGCGTATCACAGTTCGGTTCTGGCTTGGCATGGCATTTGGCCAGTGGAACACACCAGCTGTGCCGTGAGGGCCCCGTGTTGGCACGGCTCGGATATGCCGCACTGGAAAGTCGGTATTAATTTTAATCACCAACCTGCACTGGTCAGTGTGGTGAAAAATGGTCAAATAACCTCGATGGCTGACTCAGCATGGAAGGCCTTCATCTATCAGTGAATTGACAAAAGGTCTATAATAAATAAAACTGCAATCTTGGCATTGGCTGTGATGGGCTCATGAATCAAATACTATTTGACAACTTGTTCAATCAAGACATGTCATCATATAACTAACGATTGAACAGTTTACCCAAGGATATCCATAACACTGACCGGCATATTTGCAGTCATTTAATACAGCTATTTGTCGACTGAGAATCGGTTGTTGAATTTTTCAGGACGATCATTTCTTTCATTACAGTGCCTTACGACAATAATTTTAGCTTCGCAGTATAGGTTACTCAATAATTATGTTTTGTAAATACTTTTTGTTAGATCAGTGCACATTATTTCATGATGCTACTCGTACATTCAGTATAAGTAACAGCGGTCCGACATTGTATATATTGGTATATATTGATATTGCTGTTTGTACATAAGATGCTTATAAGAGCCCTGCAGAAGTGTGGATATGAATGTAATTGAACACAGCATTGTTATTTTTGAGTACATGTACGTTTCATACACGGTGGCACAGATTAATATTCACACTTTAAATATGGCCCTTCTTATCAGGAGAATGGAAGCAATGGCGAGGTGTGGTGGCATCGGTGGCATTAAACGTGATGACCTCTTGACCATGAAAGAATTGTGTGTTTTTGAGAAGAAGAAAAAATAATCCATTCCAAAAAATATCCAGGAGAGAATATATTCCAGTTTTTTTTTGAATGCACATCACGAATGGGATATTTGACAATTCCCTATATGAGTAATTTTGCACGTGAGAGGAGACTTGCGCTGTGGTAGCGGGATGTTAATTCCCTCACCTGGTATACAGGAGGTCGTGGGTTTGATCCCAGCCCTGACACCTGTGTATTTGGAGTTTGCATGTTCTCCCCGTGGTCGCGTGGATTTTTCTCCGGGTCCTCCGTGTTTTCCCTCCACATTTTTAAACATGTGTTTCGAGTATTTGGCTGCTATAACATTTCCATGTGATAAGCCTCTTCGTTGAGCTTTCATTTGTGGCCAGGTCGCTTCTGAAAAAGAGCATGTAGCTCAGTGAGCTTTACCTAGTAAAACAAAATATAGGTTAGTTTAGTTTAAGTTGATAATTTTAGCCCAGAGACAAACCGCACTCCATACAATTAGCACGTCAGTATACTACTTGTTGTATTTCCTCCTGTGTTACCGCCTCGCTACCCAGCAGGTGTGTGCCTGATTGTGGTTCTTATCTGAGCCATATATTCCAGACTTATGCTTTCACATCCGTGATCCTTATATTAAAAAAAACTAA